TAGTGACAAGTATTAGCTTCCAGGGCTATTTGAGGGTATGAAAGGCAGTTTCTGTAACTGTCCATTTGCACCTCTTGGGGGGAGCGTAGGCCCCTCCCCTGGATTGTGGAAAGAGCCCTGGGAACACAGAAGCCTGTCTTTTTTAAAATTCCATATTAAATAATGCAAACATTAATAAAATACAAAGAATAGACTGAAACAAGGTGCAAATCCTATACACTGAAAATTATACTATATTGATAATTTAGGTTAATCTCAACTTCCTCATACCCCTTACCAAAAGCCTAACCCTAACCCAAGCCCTGGACTCTGAACCCCACCCCTCATGTAGCCGTCGACATCCCCCACACCGCACTATAAACCTAAACCTCAATCTCTCCCTCACCCTCACATTTAACCCGAACCACAACTGCACGCATAACCATAAACTCCCCATACACCTTACCAAAAGCCTGACCTTAACCCAAGCCCTGGACCCTGAAACTCACAACTCAGTGTCACCATCAAGGTCTCCCACACTCCACATAAGCCTAAACCTTAATCTCACCCCCCACCTCACATTGAACCTGGACCCTAACTCTAACAGTAAATGTATCCTCCCCATACACCTTAACAAAAGCCTAACCCTAACCATAGCCCTGGCCCTAAACCCCACCCGTCACCATTACCATCTAATGTCCCCCATAACACATCACACCACTAAACCTTAGTCTCGCCCTCACCCTCACATTAATCCTACACCATAACTCTAACCATAACCCTATACTCCCCATACACCTTACCAACAGCATAACCCTAACCTTATCCCTGGCCCCTGAACCCCACACCACACCATCACCATTAAAGTCCCCCACACCGCATCACTACCCTAAACCTCAATCTCGCCCTCACCCCCACATTAAACACAGACACAAACTCTAACCATAACCCGATCCTTCCAATACACCTTACCAAAAGCCTAAACTTAACCGTACCCAGGGCTCTGAACCCCATCCCTCACTGTCACCATCTATGACCCCCTACACCACACAATAACCCTAAACCTCAATCTCACCCTCACCCTCACATTAAAACTGGACCCTAACTCTAACCATAAACCTATCCTCCCCATACACCTTATCAAAAGCCTAATCCTAACATTAGCCCAGACACATGAACCCCACCCCTCACTGTCACCTTTGACGTCCCCCACATTGCACAGTAACCCTAAATCTTAATCTCGGCCTAAGCCTCACATTAAACACGGACACAAACCCTAACCATAACCCTATCCTCTCCATACACCTTTCCAAAAGCCTAACCCTAACCCTAGCCCTGGCCCTAAACCCTAACCCTCACCATAACCAACTAGAATCCCCCATACCACACTACACCCTTGAACTTCAATCTCACCCTCACCCTCACATTAATCCTAGAACCTAACTCTAACCAAAACCCTATACTCCACATACACCTGACCAAAATCATAACCTTAACTGGAGCCCTGACCCATGTACACCACACCTCACCACCACCGTCTAATGTCCCCAACACCGCACTGCAAACCTAAACCTCAATCTTGACCTCAACCTCACATTAAACACAGGCACTAACTCTAACCATAACCCTATCCTCCCCGTACACTTCACCAAAAGCCTGAACTTAACCCTAGCAGTGGCTCCTGAAGCCCACCCCTCACCGTCATCATCTAATGTCCCCCAACTGCACCATTACCCTAAATCTCAAACTCCCACTCACCCTCACATTAATCCTAGTCCCTAATTCTAACCATAAACCCATCTTCCCCATACACCTTACCAAAAGCCCAACCCTAATCCTAGCCCTGGCCCCTCAACACCCCACACCTCACCGTCACCATCTAATGTCCCCCACACCACACCACAACCATAAACCTCAATCTTACCCTCACCATCACATTAAATGCAGACCCTAACTCTAACCGTAACCGTAACATTCCCATACACTCTACCAAAAGCCTGAGCCTAACCCTCACCTTGGCCCCTGTACCCCACCCCTCCCATCACCATCAGTGTCCCCCACGATGCACCATATCCCTATGCCTCAATCTTGCCCTCACCCTCAGATTGAACCCGGACCCTAACTCTAAACTTAACCCTATCCTCCCATAGCCCTCACCAGAAACCTAACCCTAAACATAGACCCAGTCCTTGAAACCAGTCCCTCACCGTCACCATCAAATACACCCACACCTCACAGTAACCCTGAACCTCAGTCTTGGCATCACCCTAGCATTACATATGACCCTAACTCTAATGGAAAACCTATCCTCCCCATACCCCTTACCTGAAACCTAACCTTACCCCTAGCCCCAAACCCTGAACCCAGCCACTCACTGTCACCATCAACGTCACGCACACCTCAACGTAACCCTGAACCACGATCTCGCCCTTGCCCTAACATTACCCCCGGACCCTAACTCTAACTGTAACCCTACCCTCCCCTTACCCCTTACCAGAAATCTAACCCTAACCCTAACCCTAGTGTCAGCCCCTGAAACCAGCCCCTCACCGTAACCCAAAACCTCAATATCGCCCTCACCAGAACATTAAACCCGGGCCCTAACTAACCATAATGGTGACAGTGAGGGTTTAGATTCATGGGCCCTGGCTAGGTTTAGGCTTAGATTTTGGGTAAGGTGTTAAGGGGAGGATAAGGTTACAGTTATAGTGAGGGTCTGGGTTTACTTTTAGGGTGAGGCTGACACTGAAATGTAGGGTTACGGTGAGGTGTGGGTGATGTCTATGGTGATACTGTGGGGTTAGTTTCAGGGCCCAGGGCTAGGGTTTAGGTTAAGTGTTTGGTAAGGTGTACAGGGAGGGTAGGGTTACAATTAAAGGTAGGGTATGAGTTTAATGTTAGGCTATGGGGAAGTTGGAGGCTTAGGGCTATGGTGAGGTGTGGGTGATGTCGATGGTGATACTGTGGGGTTAGATTCAGGGACCAGGACTTGGGTTAGGATTAGGTTTTTGGTAAGATGTACAGGAGGATCGGGTTATGTTTAGAGTTAGGGTCCAGGTCCAATGTTAGGGTGAGGGTAAGATTGAGGTTTAGGGTTACAGTGAGCTGTGGGTGACGTCGATGGTGACGGTGAGGTGGTAGGTTCAGGGGCCAAGGCTAGGGTTAGAGTAGGTTTTTGGTAAGGTGTACGGGGAGGATAGGGTTAGGATTAGGTCAGGGTCTGGGTTTGATGTTTAGGGTGAGGGCTAGATTGAGGTTTAGGATTACGGTGAGGAGTGTGTGATGTCAATGGTGATGGTGAGGGATTAGGTTCAGGGCCTGGGCTAGGGTTAGGGTTAAGTTTTGGGGAAAGTGTGTGGTTTAGGATTAGGGTCTGGTTTTAATGTTAGGGTCAGGGCAAGATTGAGGTTTAGGGTTAAGGTCAGGTGGCCCAGCCTTGCCCTGCCGCCCTGCCCCACTGCCACTGGGTGATGGCTGGTGGAGTTGGTGCCTCATCAAGGCCTGGCTCTGCAGCCTGACTGCAAAGCTGCCTGTCCCAGGGACAACGCTGCCCACAGGCCTGGAGCTAAGACTGCAAGGACCCCAGGCAAGGTTTGGATTACCCATCCACCCACTGTGGCCAGTGCCAGTACCTGTGACCACACACGCAGATGGCACAGATGTGTGGCGGCATCCACCTGGGGAGGAAGGAGGAAGCTGGCTGGTCAGAGCCTGTCAGCACGCACAGCAAGGCTGAGACAGGGCAGGCTTGGGAGGGGAGAGGTGGCTGCTGGGCCCATGGGACCACCCGGTGAGAAAAGGCAGGCTGAGGAATCCCTGGGCAACTGGAGGACAGGGGAGGACTGTGTGGAGGTCCTAGGCCCCCCACACTTCACCCTTGTCTCAAGTTATTTCAAGACGCTTGGGAGTTTATTATTTTATTATGGGTCATTTGAAATCCTTTTTGGAGAAGGCACAGTTTAAATAAGAGAAGCTGGACACCCAGGCCTAGCTCAGTTCTGTGACGGGGAGATGGGGGCTCCAGACAAACAAGGTCTCTTTTTCAGGCTCAGAGATGAAGCACAGGTCAGTCCCCTCCCTGAAGGGAGCTAGGCACCACACCTCCTGGGGCCCAGGCAGCTGTGACGGTCTCCCCATTTCACAGATGAAGTGGAGCTCCAGAACATTTCACATGTGCTCCAGGTCACAGCTGGCAGCTGCAGACCTGGCCTGGGAACACAGCTGTGTGTGTGGCCCTCCAGCTCTTGCTGCCTCGGGCAGGAGGGAAAGGGAGCAGTTAAAGAACAGCTGGACTCCAGAACTGGGCTTCACCCTGACTCTGGCCCTCACTGGGTTACTGGTATCTCCTCTGTGCCTTTACAATGGGGCTCACAGAGCGGATCTCCTGGGACTGGGGTCTGACAGGCCTAAACGAGTCATGCGCATCAGGCACAAGGACAGGGGCTGGCAGGTGACAAGCACCAGTGCTGGCTCTCAGCGATGGTCGGTACATGGGGCCTGGCACTCAGGCCTTCATCCTGCTGAGAGAGGACCCCAGGCTACTTGGGCTCAGGGTTCTCCCCGGGCTCTTGGTGACCTGGGCAAGGTGCTCATGATGGCTGTCCCACTGTACGAGACTGCTGGGTTTCCACATGAGCTGTGCAGTGTCCCTGGAGGTCTGGCCAGGCTGACCTGGCCTCCTGCACAGCTCAGGTGGGGTTTACATGCTGTATTTAGCCATTTTGTGACCAAATCAGGCTCCATGTGTTCACCACCTAACAGTCCAGAAAAAGGAGGATTAGGGGAAAGGACTTGGTCTCTACCCGGTACTGGAGACCCCCAAACACTGGAGCTCCTCCTGCCCAAGCGTGGGCAGGTATGGGCATAAGAGCAAAGCCCAAGAAAGCAGCACAGATGCAGACTTCCAGGGCCTCCTGTGTGTTAAATATTTATGACAATAAACCCTGACATATGCATCTTGAAAAGGCTCTCCTGGGTGTGATGGTGGGCAGGACGTAGCCTGCACAGACAGGGAGACACGGTCTGAGTGGAAAGCAGTCATTGCTTTAATTCTGGTCAGGATCCACACCAGGGCCACCTGCCCGTCAGTGGTGAATCACCGGCTGCCCCATCCACATGATTGCTTACAAAAATAAATACGAGAGCAGCAGCAACTCTTCAGTGATCATGGAATTAATCCGACAGCAATTAGTTGTGTTTAAGCATCTGGCATATCTCCTAAATTGCACCAAAAGAATTTGGAAGCACTTGGTTTGGTCTCAGAGGCAAAATGCAAGGAGGGAAGGGCCCGGCCTCTTGGGCTGGAGCTGTGCAGGCCTCCCCCTCACATTTCTGAGTCCGCATACATCCCATTGATTAGATAGTCCACCTGTGTGTAGTCCTTCTTCTTGTAGCTCTCGTAGGCTTGCAGGGCAAACAAAACCAAAACTGTGACAAAAAGTGTCACCCCGAGTAAGAGCACCGCCAGGAGGAAACTTCTGCTCACCAGAGACTGGGTAAGGGGCTCGGTGGTGACCACCAGGTATTGACCTTGGGTGCTGAGCGGGCACAAGTCTGTGGCTGGCATCTTAGAGTCACCTGAGCTCCCGGGTGTTGGCCTGGTGGAAGCAGTACCTGGGCTGGCTTCAGGCTCCACCTGCTCTGGGGCTTGGGGAGTACCTGGCCCCATGGCCCCTTGGGTAGATGGGGCAGGATCTGGCTGTGTCGTGGGGGACGTGGCATCCACCTCAGGGTTTGGGCTGGTGTGAGGTACAGGTGCAGACGCTGTGCTGGCAGCCGGCTCCCTGCCTTGTGCCTTGGTGGTGCTCATCACTGGCGTGGACACAGAGGCCACAGAGAGGGTGGTGGTGGGCTCTGTAGTTGTGTTAGAGAGGGTGGGTGCTGGCCAACTTGTGCCAGTGACAGGCCCAGCCGTCGACCCCTGGACAGAGGGGCCTTGTGTGGACATGGTAAGTGCATGGGGACTCTTGGGGGGCATGGGGCTGTCTATGGAGTCACCGGGCATGTGCTGAGAAGGACTGTGTGTCCCCGTCTGGCCACCTGCACCCGCCGTGGCCGCGGTGGCAATCTGAGCACTTGTAGCCAGCGTCATCAGAGGGGCCACCCTTGGCGATGAGCTGCTGCTGGGAGCCTGGGCATGGGCCATGCTGAGCACGGCAGTGGAGGGCGGAGTCTGTCCTGTGGCTGTGGGCTGTGGCGGCGTGGGCACCCTGGAGGCCGCTTGGTCCGGGGTGCCTTCCCCAGCTGGTGAGGTGTCGTCTGTTCTGGGTGTGTGCCCTTCTGTGACCATGGGGGATTTGGGGTTGGCTGTCAAACTCCCTGTGGTCACCATGACAGGAGAAGTGGTCACCATGGCCATCTTCGTTTTATTAAAGACTTTTATCATTTGTTTCACAGATGCATTTTTATTGGCAAAACTATGTGACGTCTCATTGAGGACTGAGGGCCCTTAAAGTCAGAAGAGGGGAAAAAAAGATACCATCACTTTCCATCCCATGCAGGTGGACTAATCACTTAGAGACTGTCTATGTTCCAGCTCACCGGGCTGGCCCGGGCAGCCCTGCGGTGACTTGCTCCACCGCGGGAGAATAAAGGAGACGTGTGAGCAAGCCTCCCTCTTCTCTCTCACTGCACGCATCCCTCTGCCTCCAGCCCACCGGAGGGCACTCCGCACTTTGATTTAAAAACTCCTGTGCCCTCTCTCAGCTCCAAGCCCATCAAAGGCTTAAGAGCTTTACTCTTTGATTCAATTCCCAAAACATCAGAGAGAGTGAAAGCCTCATGTACAGGTGTGATTCACGATCAAAAAACCCATCACACACACCCAGGTTCCCAGAGCAGATAAACCATGGCTCAGATATTCACACCATAAAAGAATTCTTGCCTTTATGAAAACATCTGCAGCAGGAATTCCTGGAGATGGACAGTGCCTGGCACAGAGTAGGGGCACAATTAAATGTTTAATATATAAATGTCCAAGCTCCCCAGTGAAGATCAAGTTCATAAAAAAGGTGAACTTTTTCAGGGCCAGTGGGGCTCAGAGGCCCAGCCCCTTGGGGGCTCCCGACTTGTCTGGCCCTGGAGAAGCCTGGCCTGAAAACCCATCCCCCCAGGGAGCTGGGCTCCTGACACTCTGGCAGGGCCTGCACACACCCCTCAGGCTCAGGGTGTGCTGGGCTCACAGTGGGCCTGTCCAGCAGCCACACAGCTTTCTCACCTACCTGGATCCTGGCGGAGGCCTTCAGACAAAGACAAGGAGGAAACGCAGATGAGCACAAGGACTGTCCACATCTTGCAGGTGAGCTGGGAACAAGGCCGGGCACTGTCCAGGGCTCCCAGCAACTGCTTCTCAGGCTGCTAACAAGTCCCTGCTGCTTGGCCGGGGGACCTGTGGTCAAGAATGAAGGTGTCTGGTCAGTGGCACAGCCCTGCCTGGGGCAGTGGGTACAAAGTGCCTGGGCAGCGAGAGCACCGAGCATCTCAGCTACCGTGGTCTAGTGACTGGCCCAGTGTCTGCATCTGATGAGTTTAAATCACTTCTTGACCCAATTTCATTATGTGTCTCAACCTCCGCAAGTGCCCACTATCCCAATCCAGAGTTCAGAGTTTGAAAGAGCAGTAGAGAGAAGACTGAGATGGTCATGTTCACAGGGTCAAAGCCTTCCAATCACCATGATGAGCCGAGGGCTCCTCCTCAACTTCCTCTGTGGTCTGCAGGACACAGATCAGGCCCAATGACAACTGACCATCCCTTTCCCATGGGAGATGCCACTCTGCCATCCATAAACCCCCATCAATTATCTGGCCAACCAGCCATCATCCATCACCCATCCTCCATCAACCAACCATCCACCTACCCAACCATTCATCCAATATTCCCTGAGTACCTGCTCATGTACCAGACAGTGTAACAGTGTACTTAGGACAAAAAGATGAAAGCCACACAACTCTCTCCTCCAGGGAGCCTGCCATCCAGTAGGAGACACAGAAAAGACATCACTGCAGGAGTAGAGCACAGGTGCAACTGGGTGTGGGGAAGCAGGGTAGAAATGGTACCCATGCAGGCCTTGAAGGATAAGCTGGAAGCTGGTCCTCTTTGTGAAGACCCCAATGGTGGATGGTGGAGGACAGGGTGCAATAGAGGTCCAGAGGGGCACCGGATTCTGGTGATGTGGGAGGTTGCCAGAGAATGTTTCTGGGAAAAGGACACCTGGGCTGTTTGGAAAGATGGACGGGATCCACCTGGTGGGAAAGGGGTGGAGAGAGAGCAGCAGATGACAACAGCAAGGCCAGAGGCCTAGGGACAGTGCAGTGGGGCTGGGATCAGACTAGAGAGAGGCAGACCGCCATGGGGTAGTCTGGATTTGGGGGGACAGGTGCCCCTGCAGGCCTGAGGCAAGGCTGTGGCCAGTGCAGAAAGGTGCTTCAGTGGGCGGGGCAGGCCAGGGAGGGTCCATGAGAGGAGCCCAGCAAGGAGGCAGTAGTGGCAACAATGAAGCAGGAGGGACAAAACCCAAGGTGGCTGAGGGACTTGGAAGGGGTGGCAACCGCAAGAGATGGCAGGTGGGCTGCAAGGACCAGGCCGCAGAGGCCCGGCTCTGCACAGCAATAGTATGACTGCAGAAACTTCCAGAGATGCCACCAGGATGGAGACTGGGCCCACTGCAACCCATCTCCTGAGTGCACAGGGTCTCTCCCACACTCACCAGGGTCTCTCATGTCCTACTGGCCCTGGGCATGCCCCGATCCCACCCTTGTTTTACCCGATCACCAAAGTCCATGCAGCCACCTGTGAGACCCAGGCCCGCCCTGGACAATGGCTTGGCCACATGTTAGTCCATGACTAAACACTCAGTTTGTGCAAAGGGCAAGCAGAACACAGCTGCACTGAGTGTTGGAGGGCCGGCAATGAGCCTGGGGCTCCCCAGGGTGCCTCCTGAATTGGTGCTGCCTGAAGACCCTCTATACCTTCAGTTTTCCTGCTGGCCCTCGCCAGGAAGTTCTTGAATGAACTCCATGAACACCACAGAGGAAGCCTTCAAGTCTCTGAATGAAACATCGTGACCCACTCCTCACCCAGCCTAGCTGCTCATCACGGCCCTCCACAGCCCTGAAGCTAGGCTGGCTCCTGTGATCAGGGCAGAGTCGCTGTCCTCCATCAGCCCTAAGGGTCAACAACAAATCACCTGCAAGCATTCAACACCCTGGCCCAGATTCACCTGCCATCTTACAGCTGCCAGAAAACCCCCAAAGCTGACCCTGCCTCCACTGCCTAAATTCTGTACGGTCCCAGGGTACCCCAGAGCTCCTTAACGTGGCCAAGGCAGCCTTCAAAATCCAGCCCCCCACTGGTGTCTCCCCTACACTCCCACCCCCACTGGCACGTGAAACATCTGCAGGTCCCAGCCCAGCACCTGGCTGAACCCGCAGCCCAGCTGAGAAGCCCTCCCTCTGCTGGGAGCTACACGAAAGCAGCCTGAAGGAATGTCTGGGGGGTGGCCACACACTGGCTTTCTGCCTGTGATCAGTGGGGACTCTTGTCAGACAGCCCATGACTGGGAAATCCCTGGCATGCACAGCCCCTCCGAGAGGTGGGCCCCTTCCGGGGGTGCTGCGAGTCTCCTTCCAGGAGTCGCAAACCTGAGTCGAGCTGCACGCTGCATGTCTGGAAGAGCCCCTGGTGTTTTTTAGAGGGTTAGAATAGTTAACTCAGCCCCACAGACCACAGATTTGCATCTGTTTTTTCAGGGTACAAAAGGCATTCTTTGTTCTGACAGAAGCAAGTTGGGGGATAGCAGGGGAGAGAAGAAACAGACCAATACCATGAGAGGGAGGGACCGAAACGGGAAGGTTTCAGGCACAATGAACTCACATCCCCCAAGAGCTGAAGCAACACAGCTGGGCTCCGGGGAAATGTGTATCTAAATGGTCCTCTCTTTGGCCAGTCACATCACTGAATGCATTTAAAATGCCACCACTGCTGAGCCCAACATGCCCCCAGTGTCTGAGCCCTGGATCTGGGGTCCGCTGGGGTGGGGTGACGGGACGGGGCCTCCTGAATGGGCCCCAGGTCTTAGCGCCTTCCTCTAGAGAACTACAGAACTCTACAGCAGGGTCAGCGACATTCTTCTGAAAAGTGTTATTCAGCAGATATTTTAGACTTTGTGGGCCATGCGACCTCTATCTCAGCTCTTCAAGTCAGCTGCCAGGGTGCAGAATCCCTGTATGTCAATGACGGGCGTGGCTGTGTCCCAACAAAGCTTCATCTGCACACCCAGGCAGCAGGAGGCCCTTGGCCCAAGTCTGCCAACCCCTGCCCCAGCATGTTACAGTGGGCTTCAGAGTGCTGCTCCAGCTAAGCCAGGGAGGGACTGACTCAAGGTGCTGAAGGGGTTTCTTCCCCACCGTCCAGTCCTCACCCTGGAACAGACACGGCACAGCTCATTCCCGGTTCAGGGCCAGCCTCCAGCTGGTCTCCTTCCAGGGTCCCCTCTGTTATGAGGCAGCTCCTCTACCCCCCTCATCAGTGAGATGCAGCACCCCTGTCTGTGCAGCCATAGGGGGCTCCCGTGAGTATTATGGTATTGCAGGGCCACCAGGAACCTTCGACGGTGCTTGGTGTTTGTGTGATGGACACAGAGAAGGCCACAGAGGACCACACAGATCCCACCCCTTCTGGTCCACCCTACCTGTGGACCATTGTCCCGGTCTGCCTCAGGAGGCAGAGCCTCTGGTGGCGACATGCTGGAGGCCACAGCCCTCCTGATTATGGGGGAGGCTCGGCCCTCTGGGCTGTGCTGCCTTTCCTTGTTCCTTTCCCACTCCGAGGCAAAGCCCCCTCGGTACCTTCTCCAGGGCCTGTCTCTTCACAAAGCAGGTGGCCCACCTGCTGAGCACTGGACATTCACCAGAGTCAGCTGCTCAGGGCATGCTCCCAGGCTGGGACACCTTCCTCCTTGGAGAGTTGTGGGCTTGGCACCGTGTGCTGGTGGGTGAGGTCTGGCTTTGCAGGAGGCAAGGGCAGCTTCGCAGAGCACTCCCAGCCATGGCATGCTGTGCCACGTGTGGGACACACGCAGATGCTCCACTCTGATTACACACATCTAGGGTTTGAAAAAGAATAAACACTCCTTAGGAAAAAGTCCAGTGAAGCAGGAGGCACAGGAAATAGCAGCATTCAGTAGATCATTATAATTGGAAAATGACAATATATATCAAAATTGTTAATGTCAAAACTTATGTAGCACTTTCTAAGGGTGCAATTCTTCTAAGGGCGCACTTAGAGGGATGTCCAAAGATGTAGGTCTACAAAGTTGTCCATCACAGTATTATTTGTAATAGTAAATAGCAAAAAATTAGAACAGTTATGTAAAATCTGACTCATCCATATATAAAATAGTATGGCAGCTGCTAAAAAGTAAACAGATTTCTACTTATTGACATGGGAAATGAGGAGCATGTACCATTCGGGTCACACCACAACAGTATACACACCATGAGCCTATTTTTATTTAAACAGACATTTGTCAAAGGGTCTGGACATATTTATACCAGACTGTTAATAATGGTCATCCCTAGGGAAGGAATTTACTGGTGATTTTTATTTTCTACGTCATTTCTCTCTCTCTCTCTCCTTTTTTTTTTTTTAACAAGTATGAATAGCTTTTGGAACATATTTTTCTGATAGGCTCCAATGAAAGAAAACATATGATCTTCTCCAAGTGCTTTGAGCTGCCAGGCAGAAGGGCACAGAGTAATCCCTTTGGACAGTTTTATAGGTAAGTTTTAATAATTTAGAGAAACTTCATGATTTATATATATCAATTTTTCTAGGAGCCAACCAAAACTTTAGAGAAATCCAGCAGTACAGTTGTAATGCAGAGATATTAACCAACACAAAAATTCTCTCATTGATGCATATTTAATGTAAACTCAGGAGGAGATGAAAGAAACAGCTTGTCACCTCCTACAGTGGCAGACAGTGATACTGCCTAAGGACCAAGACTGGCCCAACCCCAGCACAAACACCCACATGTGCACATAGCCACATGCACCCATGCACAGGCACATCCATGCGTGCATGTAGTCACACTTGTGTGCACACAGCTGCATGCACATCCAGTCGCATACACGCATGCATGTACAGGCACATACAGGCAGTCATACAGATGCGGGTGGGTAACCACACACACGGTTGCAAACAAAGGTGAGTGCACTCTTGGAGCCTCTCCAGAAGGCTAATTCAGGAAACTCCTCAAGCTTCTCAGAAAGCTTCCGCTGGATACCATCACTGTTTAGTCACTCCCAGTCAGTGGGGCTGGTGATCACTCCCACAGAAACAGGAATTGGCCGCTGTGCAGAGTCAAGAATAGGCCCTAGTTGTGCTGTGACTTCATGTCTCTGGTATGGTCCTGCCTCCACGTTCCAACGGCATATTCTAAATGTCAAGATTAACATGTGGGGATCTGCACTAATCTTTATAAATTGACTCACAATGGATAAATCATTGGCGAGATTTGAAATAATAGTTTCCCCTGCAAAGGGCTCAGTGAACCTTAAATGAGGATCTAACCAGTTATTCTCATTACCTGGTATGAAGACTGGGTAGATCAAGGTCAGACTACTATGGTTGGAAAGAGAGCCTGAGGAAAGGAGAGGAATAAGCAAGAAAGATTTAACACTATGTGGAAGACCAGGACAGATGGAAGGATAGGATAGGCTGGTGCTAGGAGTCCCCTTTTTCATGGGTCAACTCCCAGGTGATGGTCCATTAGAAAGGCACCCCCAGATTGTGGCTCTGGGTGTCAACTTCCTGATCCTTTTCTGGTCCTTGACATTCTGATGCCTCCCAACACCTCCCCTCCTCAGTTCCTGTGTCTCCAACCTTTGCTTGTTTTTTTAAAAAACTCTTTTATGAATCTGTTACATGCAGAGTGCTGTGTACAAGTTACATGAAAGCCAACTTCAAATTGCTGAATTCCTTTTTCTCAGGTTCCTAAGACCCAACACAAGTAATCCTCAGGCTTGGCACAGGACTGCAAGTGTCACCCCCACCTTCCATGAAGCTAGTAATACATATTTATCAGCAACAACGTGGCCAGGGCCCCTACTCCAAGCTGGAAAAGCTATACGTACTAAAGAATAGGAATTGCATTAGTAAATACAGGGCAAACCACAGATAACTTATCTTGACACATCACCTGGCTGAACTTTGGCAGCAGAACCCAAGGAATACAGGCTTGCCATTTTGCAGATATAGACTTCGCCCTGTGGTTCAAAGATGTTTCTCCATGGCAGATGGGAACCTACAGCATTGGATATCATCTTAATTACATTGCTCACTTCCAAGTTTCTGGAAGTTTTGGTATCACAGTTAAATGCTGATCAAAGGCCTAATTTTTGTTGGCAATGTAGGTAAATTTGACATTCTTCTGTCCATTAGGTAAGTCCACCCTATAAGTGGAAAACTTGTATTTTAAATACTCTCCTGGATGATTTTATTGAAATCTTAGAGATGCTTCCTCCAGAGGGAAAAATGCACGTTGTTATAGGCAGATTTCTAAGCACTGTTTAGGTCTTACGGCAAACCACGTGGGTGCTCCTTCCTCCTATCAGCCTCACAGACACGCTAAGGGGCTACCCAGACTCACATGGGGAAGGCAGGCAGGTAGGTGGAAATGCCCAACTCCCTCCCAGATGAAGAGGGGCTGGGGGAGGCCTGGGTCTCCCAAAAGGTCAGCACCGTCTTTCAGGACAACAGCCTTGCCCCGGGAAGGCCCTTCAGTTTCCCCGCACACCGGGTGCCCCAACCTTCCCGTCCTCCGCTCCCAAACTGGACCAGCCTGGGCCCCTTCCCGATGTGGGGTCCCCTCGCCCTCTTCCCCCTCCGGCCTCCGGGTCCCCATCCACGCCCCTTTCGAGTCTCGGCCCCCAGTCGACTCCGCCGTTCCTGCCTCTCCCCCTATTCCTCACCGTCCTGTGCTCTGTGCCCCCACTCCTGTCTCCCATCGTCCGCCTTCTGCCTCTCGAGACCCCATTCATCCTCCCACCCCACCTCCCTCTCAGCCACCGCCAGTTCAGGCCGCGTGACAACAGCCCCCCGGGCGGCGGACCGGGCCCCTTACCCGGGCGCGGCAGGCCTGCGGCGGCCCGGCGGCCCTCGAACGGCGGGAAAGCGCCCGCGGTCCGGCTTGGGGACGTGGCAGGTCGCGAACGGCGGGGAAGCCAGCCGGGACTGCTCGGGGCAGCCGCCCTAGCCGGCCCCGCCCCGGCAGCCCCGGAAGTGACGTCACCGGAGGAGGGTGGGCCCGCGGTGCCTGGCACAGCCTGTCGCGAGCCGAAAGTGGGGGCGTGGCTGCGCTCGGGCACCGCCCACCGCGGGCGACTCCGACTGTGTTCGAGCGCGGACGGAAGTTGCCGTACCTGTGGCCCGGCCCCCAGCTCTGGGCTACGGACTGCGGCTGCCGGAGCCGCGACTGCCCAGGCAGCGCAGCGGCGTAGAACCCGAGGGCGGGGCCCTGACACGCCCCTGCCCTCCTCCCTCAGGCTGGATCCGGCCTCAGGTGGCGACCTGGTAGTGGCGGCCAGCGCGGTTTGAGCGCTACAACGTGCCCAGCCCGCCCTTGGTTCGGTGATTCACCTGCAGGTTCTTTGACTTTGCTCTGCAGTAGCTCTAAGAGGCGCTCTGTCCCCGATTTGCAGACGCGGAAACAGACTCAACAAAATGCTTTGTTAATTGTAAGACGTGGGTAACAGCGGGCAAAATGGAGTGTAGAGGAAAGATACGGTAAGGTGATCTTACTTAGAAATCAACCTACCCGTTGTCTTAACAGTGGGTTTCAGCCCTGGGCAAGTTCACTATGGATTCAATGAAACCGAAGAAATGACAGTAGAACGTTCTTGGGGTGAAAGGGTTTATACCCAACTCTATTCCCACGGTGGCAGGTCAGTCACTAGAATCCCGTCCACTCAGAGCGAGTACCCATGCAGCAAGCCGGTCTCTGCCTCTGGGCCTCTCTACATGTGCAGCCGTCTGAGTCTCTGGCCTTGGCGCTGCCACCACTCCAGTCTCATCTCTGCCCTCCTGCAGCCTTGCAGCCATACCACCGTGCAGCCCAGAGCCCTGGGCGGAGCTCTTTATGTAGAGTCAATAACACGTATTGCCCACACGTGTGTAGTGAACTAGCGGACCAGGGCCAGGTGAGAATCCTGGCCACAGGAACCTTCCCTTTATCCAACTAGTCTGACTGAATCCCCGTCTCTCAGGCCTCCCTAAATCCAAACCAAAGCCTGTGTGTGAAGGACCATCTCAAGGGAGCAAACCAAAAGACTAAGACAGTTTTATAACCTTTCTGGGGGTCCTGGGCTAAGAAATGAAACTACACACAGAAAACGATGTGCAAAGACAGGATCAACTCGCCAGTTTTGAGTTCTGGGAGCACCTGAAATGCAGTTTAGAGTTGTCACCACCCTAAACTCCAGTTCAGCTTCATAGATTCAACTTGTGTGTGCTGGGACCCAGGCCGGTTACAAGCATTTGTGACAAGATCCGTCTGGTTTGTGCTTGTTTTAATTTTCCCAACTGACACAGACCTAACATGAGAAGTTCAGTATCTATGTTCACAAATGAAAATATACCCAAACAGCCAGTTGTCGTTCTATGCTTGTTTTCCTCAAATATCAATGTCTGTCACACTGTTTTCATTTTCTCTTTGGTAAAATGGGGACAATTTTCAGTGCTAGGGCTGAAATTACAAAGGTAAAGCACAGCTCTCCTTCTCAAGGAGCTCATCGTGGAGAGCTGAGGTCTGTGTGCTGGCTGTGTCTGCTTTTGTATATAAAATTTAATTGGAATACAGTTACAGGCTAGGTGCCACACGCGAAAGGGCTCTGGAGTAACACTGCCTGGCTTCAAATCCTGGCTCCTCCACTTTTTAGCCGACAGAGAACAAGAGGTTCAGACTCCCTGAGCTTCACTTTTATTATGTGGTCATAACTCATGGTAGTTACGTTTAATAAAGTCTCCATGAAGACTAGCTTAGTGAATACTGAACTATCACTCCTAGAGAAAAAACACGAGGGGCCAACACTTCCCTTCACCCTTTATTGTCATTATTTATTAATCAAGGGCTCATTTTTATGCTCTAAACATAAAATTAAGGACATTAAAATTATTGTAATTTTTAGAATAAAAATATATAATTGATAGGGATAGGAATATAATCATATATGCATTATTGGATTGATCCTCCTGTCATAATGTTAAGAAATATTAACTTGCTTTTTAGATATTTACAATAATAAAAAAAACCTTAAGGATTATGAAACTGGGATGCTATGGATTTACACTGAATTTTTCATTTCAAATTTTTAAAAAATTTCAAATGTTTTTAATTTCAATACATTTTTAGTTAATTTAGTGGAATTATTCAAAGGTATTTTATATGGTATTAAAAACTTGTTGAGGATTATTTTACATACAGAAAAGTATACATGTAAGTTTACAGCATGCTGAATTTTCACCAACTGAACCCCCTGTGTAATCAGACCCCTGGGACCCGCTTGTCCCCCTGCTAGTCCCAAAATGAAAACACCAAGTTTCTGCAAAGATTCAGAGCAACCTGAACTCTAACACATTGCAGGTGGGAATGCAAAATGGCAAAGCCACTTTAGAGAACGGTTTGGCATTCTCCTAGGTATTTACCCAAGGGGAATGGAAGCATATGTCTTCACAAAGAACCATATGAAAGTGTCCATAGCAACTTTATTCATAATTGGCAAAATCTGGAAATACCCAAATATCTAAATACATCAAAGCAAAACTGACAGAAGAGAAACAGGAAAATCCCCAACATAGAGATGTTAATATGCTTCTTTTAGTAATGTATGGCTCAGGCAGACCAATAAATAAATAAATAAAAAGTAAATACACAACAAAATCCAGTAAGATCATTAAAAACTCAAATGACATAACTAGCAAATTCTGGCCTCCTGAACAGACATAGATCACCTAATAACTGAACAGCCAATAGCTTTGTTGGATGTCCTGGGGGAAAGGATCAATGAACCCACTGCAGCCTTCACAGATGGGGGGTGGTGCTACTGTGTAACTTTGTGTTCTAGGAACCCGACTGAATGGCTCAGGGTCCAATCATGGAAAACTGAGGATGAGGGGACTTTGAGGCAGAGCAGGGACTTTCATTCAGAAATGGTTGTTAAAAATATTGGTTTTAAATGTTTATCTCCTACTTATGCAAACAGCATATCTTGTATATCCTGATTACCAAAATTTGAAGAGGTCATCATTAAAAAATGTTGATCAGGAGTTCTGGGTAATCACTGCAAGCATATATTCACTATGTATAATACAGGTAGGGAGAAAATGATGGGACTCTCTATTACAAATTTAGTGAAAAAGGGTTAACGTGTTTTGATTAAAAGCTATTAGTAAACCAGGAATAGGAGAATATTTACTTAATGTGATAAAGAATTATTATTTCACCCTATTACTGATTAAGAAAAACCACTAAAGGTGTTCCTAGAAAGACCAGAAATGAGATGCCTGTTCTCAAGCTCTTAGTAAATATTGCTCTAGTCGAAGGAATGAAAGAAGAACAATAAATGGAATATTTTTAAAGACAGGTTTTCAATATTTATGTAAGATATGATTAATTACCTGGAATGTCTAAGAGTCAACCTAAAATCAATTAAAAGTTATAAGAACAAGTGAATAATCCATCTGGATACAAAATAAATATTTGTCAGATTTCTTGTATACCAACAATAACAAACTAAAAAATTATTAATGTCAGTTATTCCAATAATGATTTACCTAGGGATACATTACCAAGAAATATTCAGGACTTAGTCAAATTTTAATTTTCTTTGTATGGAGGACTTAAAACTAAATTCAAATAAATGAACAGGTATAGAGTGTTTTGGATGGGAAAATGAAATATTGTAATGTTGTAAATTTTCCCAAATTAATTAATAGGGTTAATGCAATTCTAATTAAAAAACTCATTCTGTCTTCTTTTGGAACTTGAGAAAATAATTCTAACATTCATCTGTAACACTAAATGGTTGAAACTATTTATGAAACTATTTATGAAAATTATCATGCCTTTCTGTATTTCTCAAAATTTCTAAGAAATATGTATTAGTTTTATTGTAGAAAATTTTCCATTATAATTTTTGTTTTAGGAAAAATGTTCTTTAACAACAACAAAAGACAAATTAATCCCAATACATATTTTAAAAGAGTATAACATGTAATTGCTGAGACGTAAACTTTCTCTCTTCTACGGATCTAGCCATTCCTTTTTAGATGTTGTTAGAAATTCAAGTTACTCCACTTACAGACTGGCAAAGGAATGGAAAAAAATTCTTTGTTAATGATTTGATACTGTTTTGCTTTGAGAGAAACACAAAGACGCAAATTAATCAGTTTCAGTCTTGCAGACCTGAATGGTTTTTCCAAGAAGTGTGTGGATCCCTTGTCTGTACAGAGGAGAAAATAAGCACGGAGAGTCACCGGATGGAACCCTGGTGCACTTGGGAAATGCAGAAATGCTGCTTTCTGTCTTTGAGGTTTTCACAACCATGTACCCAGTGGCATCATTTGTGTCCCATGAGTTATTTATTTCCAGCCCAATGCATGGGAATGCCCAGGAACATTGGGCCATTATAAACAATAAACCTCACTCACTGTCCGTGATGATCACTTAAATCACAAATTGCATCATAGGACCTCTAACCAGGCCCAGGCCCATAGAGGGAAATGCTGCACTTCCCTCTCCTTTAAGTTTCATATTTAACTCAGGTTTCCCTGTAGTGCTTACGGTTTCACTGATCATCGTCACGCACCCACACATACTCACCTACTCCTGTCCGCAGGCAGACCATGCCCACCCTCTCCTACTCCTGGGCACTGCCTTCTACCAACCTCCTCTTCCCCCTCTGACGGCATCAGACCACCATCTTCCCCCCACCCCTGCTTTGATAGCATCAAGGGGGATTCCATCGTTTGTGTGCTCTGACTTTCTTGTTCCCCATCCCAGTGACCTCCGTGGCTTCTCCACTTCAGCTTCCCACCCCAAGGCCACACTCAGAGAGGCTCCATCTCAGAGACGACTCTCTCAGGCTCCCCTTCTTGAGCCATCCTTCCAGTTAACCCACCTCATTTCCTCTGACTCACCTGCTCCTGGGCCTGCAACCCCTTCCCCTCTCTGCTTTTACACCCTTCGCACTGCCTTCCTTCCTCCCTCCTCCAGCTCATATTCTATGACCCGCCCAGTAAG